AATGTGATGGAGTCGGCCGCCAAGGACGGTCTTACCTTCCAGGGCAAGAACGTTCTGATGACCGGTGCCGGTGCCGGTTCCATTGGTGCTGAGGTCCTCCAAGGTCTAATCAGCGGTGGTGCTCAGGTCATTGTCACCACCAGTCGCTTCTCGCGCGAGGTAACCGAGTACTACCAGGGCATGTACGCCCGCTACGGTGCTCGTGGTTCCCAGCTTGTTGTCGTGCCCTTCAACCAAGGCAGCAAGCAGGATGTTGAGGCCTTGGTCGAGTACATCTACGACAGCAAGAAGGGTCTTGGCTGGGACTTGGACTTTGTCGTTCCCTTCGCTGCCATCCCCGAGAACGGCCGTGAGATCGACTCGATCGATTCCAAGTCCGAGCTGGCTCACCGTATCATGTTGACCAACCTGCTCCGTCTTTTGGGCTCAGTCAAGGCCCAAAAGCAAGCCCATGGCTTCGAAACCCGCCCCGCTCAAGTTATTTTGCCTCTGTCACCAAACCACGGCACATTTGGTAATGATGGCTTGTACTCCGAGTCCAAGCTTGCTTTGGAGACTCTGTTCAACCGCTGGTACTCAGAGAACTGGGGCCACTACCTCACCATCTGTGGTGCAGTCATTGGCTGGACCCGTGGTACTGGTCTCATGAGCGGTAACAACATGGTCGCTGAAGGCGTTGAGAAGCTGGGCGTTCGTACATTCTCCCAGCAGGAGATGGCTTTCAACCTTCTTGGACTGATGTCTCCGGCCATCGTCAACCTTTGCCAGCTCGACCCAGTCTTTGCTGACCTAAACGGTGGTCTCCAATTCATCCCCGACCTTAAGGGCCTGATGACCAAGCTTCGCACCGACATCATGGAGACCAGCGATGTCCGCCAGGCTGTCATCAAGGAGACCGCCATCGAGCACAAGATCGTTAACGGCGAAGACAGCGGAGTTCTTTATAAGAAGGTTGTTGCTGAGCCCCGTGCCAACATCAAGTTTGAATTCCCTAACCTGCCCGACTGGGAGAAGGAAGTCAAGCCGCTCAATGAGAATCTCAAGGGCATGGTCAACCTGGATAAGGTGGTCGTTGTCACTGGTTTCTCTGAGGTCGGCCCTTGGGGTAACTCCCGTACCCGATGGGAGATGGAATCTAAGGGTAAGTTCTCATTGGAGGGCTGCGTTGAGATGGCGTGGATCATGGGTCTGATTAAGCACCACAACGGTCCCCTCAAGGGCCAGGCCTACTCTGGCTGGGTTGATGCCAAGACCGGCGAGCCTGTTGATGATAAGGATGTCAAACCCAAGTACGAGAAGCACATCTTGGAGCACACTGGTATCCGTCTCATCGAGCCCGAGTTGTTCAAGGGATACGATCCTAAGAAGAAGCAGCTCCTTCAAGAAATTGTCATCCAGGAGGACCTCGAGCCTTTCGAGGCTTCTAAGGAGACAGCTGAAGAGTTCAAGCGTGAGCACGGAGACAAGGTTGAGATCTTCGAGATCCCCGAGTCAGGAGAGTACACTGTTCGTCTTTGCAAGGGCGCCACTATGCTCATCCCCAAGGCGCTCCAGTTCGATCGTCTTGTCGCTGGTCAGGTGCCTACAGGCTGGGATGCCAGCCGCTATGGTATCCCCGACGATATCATCTCCCAGGTGGATCCTGTGACACTCTTTGTCTTGGTCTGCACTGCTGAGGCTATGCTTTCCGCCGGTATCACCGACCCTTACGAGTTCTACAAGTATGTCCACCTGTCTGAGGTTGGTAACTGTATTGGTTCGGGTATCGGTGGTACCCACGCTTTGCGCGGTATGTACAAGGATCGCTTCCTCGATAAGCCGTTGCAAAAGGATATCTTGCAGGAGTCCTTCATCAACACTATGTCCGCCTGGGTCAACATGCTGCTGTTGTCCTCTACCGGTCCTATTAAGACTCCCGTCGGTGCTTGCGCCACTGCTGTTGAATCGGTGGATATTGGTTACGAGACCATTGTCGAGGGCAAAGCTCGTGTTTGCTTCGTTGGTGGTTTCGATGACTTCCAGGAGGAGGGCTCTTACGAGTTCGCCAACATGAAGGCCACCAGCAACGCTGAAGATGAATTCGCCCACGGTCGTACCCCGCAAGAGATGTCACGACCCACTACCACTACTCGTGCTGGCTTCATGGAGTCCCAGGGTTGCGGTATGCAGCTCATTATGACTGCACAGCTTGCTCTCGACATGGGTGTGCCCATCCACGGTATCATCGCTCTGACCACCACCGCCACCGACAAGATCGGACGGTCCGTTCCCGCTCCTGGCCAGGGTGTCCTGACTACTGCCCGCGAGAACCCCGGCAAGTTCCCGTCCCCTCTGTTGGACATTAAGTACCGTCGTCGTCAATTGGATCTCCGCAAGAAGCAAATCAACGAGTGGCAAGAAGCCGAACTTCTGTACCTCCAGGAGGAGGCTGATGCCATGAAGGCTCAGAGCGACGAGACCTTCAACGAGGCTGAGTACATGCAGGAGCGTGCTCAGCACATTGAGCGCGAAGCCATTCGCCAGGAGAAGGATGCTCAATACAGCCTGGGTAACAACTTCTGGAAGCAGGATTCCCGCATTGCTCCCCTCCGTGGTGCCATGGCTACTTGGGGTCTCACCGTTGACGACATTGACGTCGCATCCTTCCACGGTACCTCGACTGTCGCCAACGACAAGAACGAGTCCGATGTCATCTGCCAACAGATGAAGCACCTTGGACGCACCAAGGGTAATGCAGTGATGGGTATCTTCCAGAAATACCTCACTGGTCATCCCAAGGGTGCCGCCGGTGCCTGGATGTTCAACGGTTGTTTGCAGGTCTTGGACAGCGGTCTCGTGCCGGGCAACCGCAACGCTGACAATGTTGACAAGGTCATGGAGAAGTTCGACTACATTGTCTACCCCAGCCGCAGCATCCAGACCGATGGTGTCAAGGCGTTCTCCGTCACATCCTTCGGTTTCGGTCAGAAGGGTGCTCAGGTCATTGGTATTCACCCCAAGTACCTTTATGCCACTCTTGACCAGGCTCAGTACCAGGCCTACAAGACCAAGGTCGAGAGTCGCCAGAAGAAGGCTTACCGCTACTTCCACAACGGTCTGATCAACAACAGCATCTTCGTTGCTAAGAGCAAGGCTCCTTACGAGGATGATCAGCAGAGCAAGATCTTCCTGAACCCCGACTACCGTGTATCTGTCGACAAGAAGACGTCTGAGCTCAAGTACTCGAACACTGCCCCCGAAGCCAAGCAGTCCGAAAGCACTCGCCAGACCCTCGAGTCCCTTGCCAAGGCCAACGCCGCCGAGAACTCCAAGGTCGGTGTTGACGTCGAGCACATCGATTCCGTCAACATTGACAACGAGACCTTTGTCGAGCGCAACTTCACTAAGAGTGAACAAGATTACTGTCGCAAGGCTGCCTCCCCACAGTCCTCATTCGCAGGCCGATGGAGTGCCAAGGAAGCTGTCTTCAAGTCATTGGGTGTCAGCAGCAAGGGTGCCGGTGCTGCCCTGAAGGATATTGAGATCGGAGTTGATGCCAACGGCGCTCCGGTGGTGAACGTAAGTGCATGGTTTTCCCATGATTTCCAGTGACAAACGCTAACATATCTCTAGCTTCATGGTGCTGCCGCCGCCGCCGCTAAGCAGGCGGGTGTCAAGCAGGTCAGCGTTAGCATCAGCCACAGTGACTCGCAAGCAGTTGCTGTTGCGGTCTCACAGTTTTAGAAGTGCATTGTCTTTTTCTGTTCGCATATAGATCCTAGAGGCTACAGGTTCTCTTGGGTTGAGACGTAATGATTGTGATTTATATATTTTTTTTAGATTTCGAACCAGCTTCGTCTCCTGGTTCGTTGTGTTTATAATGGGAGTGATGACATTTATTAGTTTTTTTTAATTATCTTTTTTCAACAAATAGCTCCAGTGTAAAGTAATCCCCAACAGTTCCTGTGTACTCTCATCACATATAACTAACTGGTACTTTGGGGTTAGGCTAGTTATCTCAACAGATTTGCCTGATATATTCCTTGAGCTTAGTCACGTGTCAGCATGTAGCTTACTATTTATGTTTATTCAACATCGCCGTGATTTACTCAACATCTTCGTGAAACCCTTCATCAGATACTACTTACTATTTACTACTACTACTCTATCAAAATGGTCGTTGGCAGCTGTTTCTGCGGCAAGGTCCGAGTCGAATACAACGGCCAACCTCTAACAACGGTACAATCTATACATCCACTTTTTGATAACAAAGCTAATGATATCCTCCAGGCACTCTGTCACTGTCTCGATTGTCGTAAGATTACCGGGTCCCTCTTTACGTTCAGTCTTCTCGTCCAAACTGCCGAACTAGAGATCTCCGGAAATCCAAAAGAGATAGCAAAGACATCAGACAGCGGAAATACTATCAAGAATTACTTCTGTCCTGACTGTGGTATGTACATGTGTTATATTGGACTTGGAAGACAATACCTAACAAAGTGCTAGGCACGCCGCTTTTTGGACATAAGATAAAGCCCAATGGAGATCCTAACGAGGTTACAGTCGTCCGGGCGGGAATTTTTGATGATGTTGAAATGTTGAATGAAGGGAAGCCTCAGGTGGAGGTATTCGCTAAGAGACGAGTGAAGTGGGTTTGTCCAGTTGAGGGGGCTACTCAAGTTGATGGCATGTTGCCAATACCATCCGTGTGATGATCGAGTTTGAGGTATGGATCTCTATCATACGGAGCCTTGGAGGCCCTTACTACTCTTGACGTCGGAAGGCTGTCTGTTGATCTCACGTGTTCCGTTCAATGTATCTTCAATCTCGATTTGGCACATCTATAATATAAATTAAGCAGTTTCTATGAAAACCAGAAGGGGTTTTACTAAGTCATTTTCTTTCACTCAAATGTTATTGGATGACATTTCCAAGGTATCTAAAGTACATGGTTGTTGTGTTCTAATCGTAATCCCTTGACAACTTTATCATAGTCAGACTCGAGCTCGCGAACCATCGCCTTAATGTCTCCGAAGCTGGAACAACAGAACAAGCCAGGAACGCATGTAGACCTGCACTGAATTCATATGTACGATAGGCACCGGGTTGTCAACTCTGTGTCGTACCAGTTTGTAGCTTTGTTTCTTCAACGAATAGCTCATATGGAATCGAACCACCTCTTCGGCTTGGGTTTGTTTGCTGTGGCTTACAGGTTTGACCCTGAATTGAGCTTTACGATCTGGGTCGAACCAACCTATCTCGGGGCCCTTCCAACTTGTGTCTGGCATTTGCTGCTCGCTGTTATGGCCCTGACCCTGGATCTTTAAGAAGAAGCCGACGAGAACATGGCCTGCCTTTTTAGGGGCTTTAACCTTTGTTCCTGGTCGCACGTCTGGGGTCCTGCTACCGTTTGATTGAGGGTATCGATTTGAACGAACGACAGGGAAAATTGTCGATTATGGCTGCTCTTACTAGGGGTCTTTGAGGGCCTGGTAGTCACGTTTCTTGATTTGGGTGTGAATTAATCGGACACGGGGGCAACCCCAGGTCGGCATAACTGCGGGCTGTCGCTTAGCATCCAACCCAGGCATTGCAACCGCCAGCAAACATGTAGCAGTTTTTCCACACGGGAGTAGTCCATAGATCCATAGACCATGCTATGCGAGGAGGAAGGTTGGTCCATTTGGCATCCTAAGTTTCCTGATATCGCCTTTCGAGTACCGTCGACAGCGTCAAAGTCGCGTGTCAGGATTTTGTGCGTTTGTAGAACGATGGCCTTAGGAGGAGCCTGATCGCGGATGCATAGGTGGGTGATCATGAATGCCGCAGCTTCAACATGCTGGATTATCTCTTGATGATTGTGAAGAGTGGCGGAGGTGCCTGCCAGAACTTTTTGTTAAACGAGGGGTTGTTTCGTTACTTGGTATTCTGTGTCGCGCTCTCCAATGTTTCTCCACACGGTATTCCTACATCTGCGTAGCAGGTTTCGAAGAGTACTTTTCTGCCACATCCGGTGGCAAATTCGTGGAACGGAGTTATTTAACCAGTAAGATTGCTTGCTTTTCTTTTATGATATTGTGGTGATGATGGGATCGGTGGGCAATGCCTCAAGGCACTCGACGTCTAGCGTATCTCAGCATGGCATGTCTGAAAGCTTGGCACCGAGAGTAAAAGTGTGACTCTTTGGTAAGGAATCAACGTGCATAAAAAGTGTCAACTCTGGTAAGTTTCAATGTTGTCCACCGCGAAATATCGTGCAACAGAGCTTCAAGCCAATATCAGACTATTTCTTGTCTTTCCGATCATAGTTCAGCAAATTGCCATTCGGGAAAGATTTTTTTGGGATGGGATCATCTAGCGCAGTCTTGTGAGGAGATGTGAGGCGACTGAGAAGTTCGGAAAGTTGATGACCGAATGAGATAAGTTCGGGGTAGGTATTGTGAGGATCGAAGTGTCCAAATTTGGAGTCATCCAAGTCATACCGCGCAAGGAGTACCATTGCCAAGACTGAGTGTGGACTTTGAGGCTGAGAGGATAGTGTAATCCAGAGCTTGAAAAAGACGCGCTGCTAAGAGAGGCGTTGAGACAGGAAGAAGGTGGAAGTGAAAAGGAAAGTGCGTGCCTCTTAAGGTTCTACCTGTATAACCTTAAAAAGGCTTATTTCGGTCATGTAACTATTGGGTGAGAATGTTCTGTGGAATTTGTCTGCACATTTTAAGCCGTTTTCACTATCTCTATGGTCTGATTCTAGAACTACTCTTCTTGATATATGATGCTCATGGTAAGGATATTAGGGTGATCTTTATGAACAACTATGAACAGCCAACATAGAACACCTATGGAAGATATTCACTGTCAAAGTGTCTGCTGGACAGTGAGTGACAGATAGGAAATAAAGTAAAAACATGGAAAGTATTCGACATTTGGTTTTAACTTGGAATCACTTGGTGCCAGTCTCGGTGCCAGTCTCAGTTCCCCTTCCAGGGACCTGGTCGGAGCATACGATCCTCTTTTCCGTAAACACTTACATCCTTGACGATGGCAATGAATCTCCGATGGTTCTCCTTGGATTCGCCAATACGAGGACGGAACACCTTCAAGAGATCGCTGCTGAGGATGCCAGATGCTGGGATGGCTGCGTGAATTTCCCCGGCTGTCGGGAAGGTCTGGTTTCCAGAAATGGGGGTCGACACACGATGGCCTGTAGATGGTTAGTTTATGTCTTGTATTAATAATAAATTTGGACCGAAACTCACCTCTGGGGACGTCGGGGCTGTTGGCACGGCTGCCGGAGAGTCGAGGTAAAGGACTGGCAGCGCGGGACCCTTGTGGGGTGCCACCACGAGAAGCCACAGTAGAGGGGTTGAGTTTCAATTTCTTGATCTTGCCACCCTCAGTCATTTCAGCTCCAGATCCGACAGTGTCAACATCACTGCCAGATCCAGCACCGCCAGGAATGTTTCGCACGCGTTTCTTGCCCTGGGTAAATCAGTATGTATTGGCCAAAGGGGATGATTGTACATACCTGCAAAGCCGATGGAGAGATCGGACGCGACGGGGGTTGGGACGTAGGAAGATGCATGCTTTTGACCTTCTTTCGAGATGTGTCGGTGCCGCTCGCATCGGAGGCGTTGGGTGATCCAAGCCTTTTCCGGGACGGTTTCTTCAGGGCATCTGTATGCTTGGGTCGACCGGAGGGAGTATTTGTTCCCTTGGAGGAGGTCGCTTCTTTCTGGGCCTTTTCTTCTTCCGCCTTCTTCCGTTCCTCCTCCTTGGCCCGCTCGGTTTCGCTGTCGTCGGAGCTCTGTCTACATTAGTTTTGGGTTTGCTGTCGAAGATGGGTGAAAAACTTACCTCCTCATCCGTGTACGGATTGACGTCCGAACCGCTGCTGTAATCAAAGTTTCGTTCTCTCTTCTTCAGAGCCTTGCGCACACCCTTGCCCAACACACGTCGGGCCTCTCGCTCACGTTTCTCTCGCATTTCTTCGGCGTCATACTCCTTCTCGTCCTTGAGATTGAACACATTCGCCTTGAGCTGGTCCTCTTTGATCCTCTTTTCGGCATCCTTCGCATCTTCATCCTCATTGAAGAGGTCATCATGCTCTTCGTCGTCGGCAAATCGATCCTCTTCGAAATCCATTTCACCAGCCTCCAATCCTGCGCCCTTGGTAGCCGTGCCCTGTTTTCCGGCGTAGACTTTGCGCTGCTTAGCGTATGTTTCCAATTCCTTTTCTTGCTCCAACTGCTGCTGCTTTTCCATAAACCATCGAGGATCTTTCACTCTCTTGGCCATGAATTTTTCTGCTTCATCAATGGTCAAAGCCTTGAAGTTGCTCTTAGCGTTGAACTTGTACCACTTTTCGGCCGGGATCATTCGCATCTTTCCGTTATCGAGGATAAAGACTGCATGTGTTTCGGACAGAGCTGCTTCATAGTTTCCAACCCAGGTGTGCTGGTTGTCGAAATCCTCCAGATGCCATGGCAAGGCCTCTTCGTACTTGATCCGGGCTCTTGCAATCTCTTCAGGGGTCATATCCGACTTGAAAACCTGCTGCGTCTTCTGCTTCGGGGCATTTGGTCGTTTGGAGGTTGAGCCGAGGGCGGGGGCGATCTGGGAAAGGTTCTCAGCTCGCTCTTTTTCACGTGCTGCCTTGCGGGCATCAAAGGCTTCACGTTCAGCCTCATCCATCGGCTGGCCATCGATCTCGGTCCGTCCCGAATTGGGATCGTGATTTCGTGAACGCGGGTCGCGGCGGTGCAGTCGAACTGGTCGTGTAAATTGTGATTCATCACGTGGGTCGACGCTTTTCTTCGAGGCAAATCGCGCGATATGGTGCTTCAATCCCTCCATCAGAGCTCGCTTTGTCGTCACCACCGGATAATCAAAGTATTTATCACTGAGCAAAGGGCCGCTGAACCCATTCGCAGACATGTGATTGTTTGAAAGCTCAAGCATAGGTCGCTCGGACGGAAAGATCGTCTGGGGGTTAGACGTTTGTGGCCGTGAGGGAAGAGTCTTGGTGGCTGTTCCATGGCCAGGAGTGGCGCCAGCTGGTTTGGGGGCAGGCCTTCTCTTCGGTCGAACCAAAGGGTCCGCTGCTTTTGGACGACGCATCCTCATAAGCGGTGCACCATTTGGCCCGGTTGGAGTGCGAGCATTCGAAGGATTCGTTGGAGTCGACATGTTGCCGACGTACAAAGCAGAGTTGTACGAGCGGTAGAAGGCGACGCGACGGATCGCGCCAGTGGTGGAAATATGGAACGACTGTAACCGTTTGCCTGTCTTGTGTTGCGACAAGGGGGGACAGGTTAAAAAAAGAGTGAGAGATGGGAAGGTCACTTTGAAAGAGCTGGAAGCAGCGACCCGCAGGTATGACGGTTGACCACGGAGCAAATGTTTACCCGTCCCGCTGACACGGTCACGTGGCACGGGAAGATCCCCGGTCTGTGTGGTCTGTGCGCCAGGAGGCTCTTTGGAAGGTCAAAGATCACCTCTACAGTATGTGAGCGCTAATTGATGAGCTCGCAGGCCATGATCAAAATTGAGGGTATATTTACTGATAGCATTTGTATTCTTTCACTGCAATATCTATATTTTCAATTGATACAAACTTTACTGACCGAATCGTTGACCCGGTTCTAGTGGCTTGTATGGACAAGCAATCCAATCACAGCCCTTGAGACAGTTAGCAGGTATCAAACAAACAAAAAATCAAGGACTTACTTGTTTATAGATCTCCGTTCCCCACCATTTGAAACCATCGACCCAGCCTGGGTAAATGAAGGCGAAGAAGACAACGACCACTGCGAATGCTAACCCAGAATCCAATGCAGCTGACAAGGTCATTGCATATTTTTCCCACCATGCGGTCCTCCTTCGCCGAATCACATAATTAAACACGAAACATACAAGGGCCCAGATGGAAAAGTTGAGCCCGGTTGCAGGGGGTATCCAGCTCAGACTGCCAAACAAGATAGGGAAGTTGACCATACGCCAGAAGCTTTTCTTGCTGTGTCTTCCCAGAAGCCATGCTCCGAGAGGGGCCACGGCTCCCATTAAAAAGGCCCAGACAAGCGGACGATATAGCCCCCCTGGGCCAAAGAAGCGCTGGGGCCCAACGACTCCCCAGAGAATACTGCCGTTGAAATGGACACGGGCAATGGGGCAATTGAAACCATTGATGGCCTCCGGGGTGCAAAGACCTGGGACAAAAGTGAACATCCAGTTCAGCACACCAATCTGAGTCAGACTCGAGACCAAAGTTGCCATCATCTGGACGCCAAACAGAATCCGTGGTGGGATCTTCATGTAATGGCCAAGTTTTAGGTCCGAGGAAAATTTGATCCCTTGTGCGGAGCTGATATATGAGTAGGTCACGAAAATCATGTTCGCTACAGGCCTTCCCGGGAATACAATACCGCAAAGGAGTTGGCAGATCAGGTAGAGGCTGCTATGCTGATTGGTGACAGCCATAATGATGCCCACTGGGATAAAAAACACACAAGTAATACCAAGAGCCAAGAGTAGCCCATACCAAGGTAGGTGTGTTGGATAACTTTGGGGCTAGGGTCAGCTACTATCAAATATCAAAGAGAGGGGGAAACGTACTATTCCACCGTGAAGATGGCAGTGGCGAGCATGGAAATGAACACGAGAAGATACCACGTGAGGGGAGCATCCTTGTAGCGCCTCATCAAGCGACAATGAACATCATCCCCTCCTAACGGAATTTCCTGGCTCGGTTCATGGGAGCTGTTCCCTGGGATGTCATAACTCTGTCGAACCATATCATTGCTTCGACGAAGGGGCTGGTATGTTTCCATGTCTGGCACTTCTCGTTTTTCCTCAAAAGCCTTTCTGGTCTGCTGCCAGATGTCCTTCCCATACCAGCAAATGGTGTGAGTGACAAGGGATGTCAATGCAGCGAACTGAACACCATAGGACAACACATAGGTGATTGGGAGATAAACCGGGGAGTAATCTTGATAGGCCTTTTCATCAAACAAAAAGTCCGCGGTCAAGATTCGACTAACGTCGTATGGTCGCCCAGCATTGTCGAACACTGCTGTTGAAACTATGGGCATATATGCAGAGAAAAGAACATTTTTATAATCTTTGTTTGATCAGCAGAGTCAAATGAGATAAGATGGGGAGAACTTACACAGTATTGGGGCGACTATCCATATGACAACCACCAGTCCCGTCACAATGTTAGCTGCGGCCCACCAAGGCGTGAGTAATGGGGATCCAATATAGGCAATTTGAGCCCAATCGAAGGTCAAGGGGAACATCCCGAGACCAGAGGCAACGCCAAACTAGAAGAGTTAGTCAAAGCAGCGGGAATTGACCTGTATATCTTACCAAGTTCGAGACCACAACGTTTTTGGGTGCCAACCAAGTGATCACATTAAAATAACTTAGAGCAGGCATCAGCAGTCCTGGGACGAAATACCAGAGAAACGCTCCTGCCCACACAACGACGAAGAATTTATATCGGGAGATACTCCAACCGTTTGCCTTTTTGTTGACAGACTTGTGCATTGTAGAAAACATTGCAGTGGACATCAGGGTTCCCGGCCAGATCATAGCCGATGGCCGCACGAGGAATCGTCGAGTGAGACCCGCGAATGCATACCCCAAAACCTGAGTGGATATGATGAGCAATAGCTGATACATAATTGGAACATCCTGATTGTAAAATTTGTGTTGTTCGACAATAACCTGTCATGGTCAGCTTCGTCACAAATATTTCGTTGGTGTACTAACATCAGTCGCGAAAGCAAATCCAAAAGAAACATTGCTGCTAATATAGACGCAAGCATGCTCCTTCTCATTCCACCGGCCCTGGGCAAACCAAAGTCTGATTCGGGACGCCAATGGAACAGGAGGCACCTCGATCTCACCAGAGAGCGATTCCCGGTGATGAAGGGATCCGTTCTCAAAAATCTCGAGAGGATCACCTGTTTGTTTCAAAAGCACATCCCAAAACTTGCCCAGTGGATGGACTAGAACAAGAGCAATGATTGGGGTAATGGCAACACTGGGATAGCGCAAGGAAAAGAAAAGATTGGCGGCGGACCCCGTCAAAGAGAATAACAAAGAGAGAATCCACATCCGCGGTGCTATGAACCATTAGATATGAGCAAAAAAAAAAAGCTTCAGAAATAAAGCTTACTGTTAATAGAAAGAGTAATATCATCCGTCGCCGGAACCGAAGCTCGTACTTGGGCATACGGCGAATTGTCTGGGGGATCCTCACCCGAGGATTTCGAATCATCATCGTCAATATCGAGGACATTTTCATCATCACTTGTCATATATGGCGAAGAAGCCGCCGGTGTCTCCTGCATCACCGGGTTAGCCGGTACGGCCAATCCCGTGGCAAACGAGTATTTCGAATCAGGACCCATTCCCACATCGGACGTGGCGGATGAAGGCCGACGATTGGCTATATCTGCGTACACACTGTTTCGTCGCCTCACAGAGGAATGTGATCGTCTCGGGGTAGACCCTGGTACGTTGGAAGAGCTTCCAATGCCATTTTCGAAGCTCGCGCGTTGTAAACTCCTACGAACGTTCCGACGACGCGAAACGGAAATATCTTCTTCGGAGTCGTCTGGACTTCGCAATGCTCCGTAAGAGGAAGCACCCAGGGCGGGCGTCGAGGGAAGAAGAGGGGCGCGAGACATGAAGGCCCGAAAGCGCTGAACAATCCCTGTGTCGGGGTTCACGTCGGATGGTAGATTGTCGATTTCGGGGTAGTTTCCATTGTCGCTCGCACAATCATCGAAATTGGAATCAGTTTGATCCGATTCAGCGGGAAGCCACTTGCGCCTCGGGGTCGAGGGACAAGACAGCTTCCGCGTCCGCAGTGGAATATTGGTCGACGTGATGGTGTGGGGATAATGAAATACTTTAAGTATTTCAGGTTAGGGCGTGCAGTAGCTCGAGATCGATCTTGGCATTGAGGAATCAGAAGAGAGAATCACAGAGCTAGTGGAGGACTAGGGTCGTAGTGTGGTGAAAAACGACCCGTCGTTCCCTCTCTCCGGGGCCCCACCCGATATCGGGCAGATTATCTTCCCTTTCCAAAGGTCACGGATACATTTTTACAGTCTTTTCAGTAGCCTCAGTAGTTCTCTTTACAACATATGTCTTTAAAAGATATTTTCTCCGCCTTCTCAGTTATATAGGTAGACAGCAGAAAAAGGAGAAAACAAATACTTTGTGCAGGAGACTTTTCTATGTATAATCTTTGATACGTTGTATAGTGTTTCCATATGTACAATTGATTTGGTATCTAATCATTAAAACAGTTCTACAACTTCTTCATCCTCGTTCTTAGGTGCCTCGACTTTAGGCTGTTCGGGCTCCCCTTCGCCCTCACCTTCTTCGTCTCGCATCAGGACCTGCACTAACCGGTCGCATGCCTCTGTCACATTCTCATCTTCAACATGCATGTGAGTTTCGCGGATCAAAGGGTAGACCTTGACTGCTCGCATCTTCTCCCGGCCCTCCCGAGTTGTGGTCAAGAGAAGCAAGGTTTCGAGATGGGTCGTGATGATGGTGGGGTCGCTGTCTCGTTGCTTATCGGGCGGCAACAGCTGAAGATCTGGCAGCATGTCCGCAGTATCCTCATCCGACAGCTCCTCTGGACCTGCAAGGGGGAGCAACAGGTAAGGCAGAAGGTTGGCTCCGTCCTCGTCGAAGAGCATTGGATGCGAATCGACTTCGAAAGCCACGTTCTTGATTGTGGATGCAATACCCTTCCTCCGAATATCGCTCTTGTGCTCCGTGAAGACCGTCAGCTTGGTGATGGGGACTACCTCATCGTAATCCTGGCGTTGGGTGAAATAAGCCCTGCCCTTTTCCGTCTGGGACAGGTCGGCAAACACGTATGATAGGTAATCAAAGTTGGCGTGCTTATTGAGAGCACCCTCGGCACCCTTCACGAAGCAGTCCATCAGCTGGTCGATCGCATTCTCGGAGGTAGATACGGTTTCGGGGGCTTTTCGCTTGAGGGTGAGCAGTTTCTGTAGGTTTTCGCTTTTGACGACATTGGCCAAAAGCATGGCCACTTCATCGGCGTTGGGCTCCTTGACATTCTGAGATCAAACAAATCAGCCCCATTACTACCCACAGGTATGGTATCTGAGACGACTCACTGTCAATTTCGCAAGCAAGTCCTCAACGAACTCATCCTCAGCAAGAAGTTTCAATACCTCTTCATCGCTAGACAAGTTGATCAGGATCGTCAATGCATTCTTCGCAATTGGCTGTAGAAAGATATCAGTCAAAAGTCACCCTCCCATGATCACAGATAACGCACAATGTAATCGCGAACCAGGAGCTTCAGATCGCGGACGGGTAGGAGTTGATGGCGCTTGAACAATTCAGGCTGAGCCGTAGAGAAACCGACGAGGTTTTCACAAGCTATGAGCTGTTAGATCATATATCCGCGCCGCGAGAGGAGTTGTCGTACCGATTTGTCTGATTTGGGTGTTGCCATGGTGCAGGAATTCCACCAGCTATAGAGATGTCAGTGAGCTAGTTCATACCGTAGGCCGTAGGTACATACCTCTTCGAGTTCGGTCGGCATATTGAAGGAAGTATAGCCTATAAGCCAGAAAGAAGGGCTGTGTTGTCAATTCCAAAATCGCAGAATCTCAAAGATTTTTTTTTCCCGCGGAAGTGGGGGTTTTCGACGTCACTGGAAACGCGGAGATACTACGGAGCCCTGGAGCCCTGGGATCCTTTGCTACGATTTGTAATACATATGAATATAGAATAATATTAGACGACTCGGAGTTAACTACATGTATATTCAATAAGTATAGATCTAATTTATATTTCTACCAATATACAAATGTTAACATATTCCTTAGAAGAGATCGGAATTGCCCCGCCTCTAGCGTACCCGGAGCTCACTCCGTCTTTGACCTTTAAACCATACGTGCTATAGAACTCACTACCATCTCAATATCTCAATACCATGGAGAACCCAAACCTCAACGAGATTCATGATTTCCTAGTCTCATTGGCCTTCAAGGCCGGAGACATCATCAACAATGCACTCCCAGGAACCAACGACACAGGATCCAAAATGAATAGTCCGTGTCCATACAAACAGCAAAACAAGAAAATAGCTGATCTCCATAGGTGCCGACCTCGTCACAGAATATGACCGTGCCGTCGAAAACATGATCTCGACCTCGCTGAGGGAGAAATACCCACATTACGAGTATGTATCTTCTCTCTCGTGCTGCTAGCATTGCTTCTGATATGTATTCTCTCAGATTCCACGGCGAGGAAACATACGACCCAGCACGCCCATTGACCGACGCCCCTACCTTCATCGTGGACCCCATCGATGGAACAATAAACTTCGTGCATAGCTTTCCATTTGCCTGTGTTTCGCTCGGGTTCGCTGTTGGACGCATTCCGACAGTGGGGGTCGTGTATAACCCCTCCACCAAAACCCTTTATTCCGCTATTCGCGGCCAAGGCGCTTTCCTCAATCGTGAAACTCGCTTGCCGCTGAAAGGTGACAATGTCGAGCCCCTGTCGGGACTAGCTAATGCTCTCATTGCTATTGAATGGGGCGCGGATCGCAGCGGGAACAATTGGGAGACTAAGCTTCGGACATATGAGAATCTGGGCAAGTCTAAGGAAAACGGCGGGGCTATGGTGCGCGCAATGCGGAGTTTGGGTTCTGCCGCGCTGAATTTATGTGCGGTGGCTGATGGCACGCTGGATCTATATTGGGAGGGTGGATGTTGGGCCTGGGATGTCTGCGCCGGATGGGTTATCCTCTCTGAAGCCGGGGGTATTATGGCGGATGGCAACCCGGGGGTTTGGGAGGCTCGTCTTGACGGGCGTAAGTATCTTGCCGTCCGAGGTTCTCCGAATGGAACTGGACAAAAGGAGATGGTGGAGGAATTTTGGAGCCATGTTCAAGGTGAACTGAAGTATTGATTACCTGGCTCATAATCCTCTCGGCCTAGTTCAATACGATATAAAGTAAAAGAAGCTTCAATTCAAAAATATAACATTCACATAATTACAGGGTATAGGTCTAAGGAAAGCGTATGTACAATGAAAGTCAAGATGGAGCTATTATCTGTGACGGAAACCAGCGCTAGTTTCCACTTCGAAGCCGGACTCGCTGTCATCCTCGACAACTTCACGATCAGTCCATCGTGCTGAATCCTGCCTCGATACATAGTTTTTCTCACTGGTGCTCATGCGCGGTTCATCTTCGGCCGGTAAGGTATCACTCAGACCAGAAGATAGATCTTCCGATAGATGGAGATCGGTTACATTTGGCACATCGTCTATATCTCTTACTGAATCTGGATCGGCAGGATCGGACTGTCCTTCAACCTCATCACCAGAACTGGTCGGACTAACATTTGGAGACTTGGCCATCTCCGCACTTTGCTTCAGAGAATCGTCAGTCTCCGCAGTGGGGGTGTGGCCGAAATGTGTATCGACCAAGTGTTTCACAACAGGCCAGCCATAGGCATTAGTGAACATGCGCCGCACAATAATGTTGTTGTGGGCATCGGGCTCAAGTCGAACAAGGACCTTACGCCAAGTCAGATCACGGTGATAGGCTCTCGCAATTTTCTCTTCGACCTTGAGGCCACTTTGGTTCTCCGCCATGCTAGCAGGTGGGTGCTCAGTGGGCGCCGACTTCGATTGCTTGCCAGGCAGTGAGCCAAATGCTAGTGTGCGTCGCTTTACCGGTAAGGGATGCGGTATGTCCTCTGGATGGTAGATGCGGTCGTGGAAGATTGTCCGGGGTCGCGAGGCAGGGTCCAGAATGAAATCCGCAGGTGGTAAAGGCGGCATCAACAAGTCTCCCGCAGACTCGAAAAATGTTGTCTTTGGAGGCGTGTGCACTCCTTCGTGCTCGCGCTCGGAATGTCCTTGGGCAATGGGTATTGTGCCATCGCCATCGCCAGTCTCAAAAGTGCTCAGGGTCTGGCTACGCTTATAAATCCTAGCATTCTTGCTATTGGGGGGATTCCTGCCCTGGTTTAGGCGAAACAGCGAAAGAAAACTGTCTAGGGGACTGGAAGGCGTATTTCCCGTGTGATTTTCCTTCACCACGGCCGGCTCTGGAATGTTCTGGTTGGGCACACGATGTTGTGCTAGGAATTGCTCCGGCCTCGGAGAGGTTGTATCGTCCAAAAGGTCGTCTTTGGGCGTTGTGGGAACCTGGATCGCAGAATATGCATTTTGTTGACCGGTCTCGATTCGCGGAAGACTCAAAGGCGGTTCTTCATCGAGGCGAGGGAGTCGCGGGGATTTCGAGTTGGCGCCTGTCAACTCTGCCCACCCCCATTCGGCCATGGTTCCAACAATTCCATTGTCCCGTCTCGCCTTTTCAACTCGATCTAGACCTTTCCAGTCTAGGAACAAAAGAGAAGACGTCCGTAAAGGAACTATCCCATCATTCACCACATTCGAGTACACTGTACGATGCTGGAATTTCTTAAGAACCTCGTGGGCAGGACCACAAGGAAGAATCCGTAGAAGCGGCTTGGAGCCAGGATCCGAATGGCCGGGGTCTTTTGTAGACTCTCCCCTTCCAGCAATAATGGCCCCCCAGCCACTTCGAACTTTCGGTGCCGTCCAGCTCAGCCCGAGATCCTGGCCGGTACGACCAACTAGACCTAAATCCAATGCAAATCGAACATACATCGGATTTTCATTGCTGAGACCAAGAAAAGGGGTTGCAAGAGCAATAAAGTTAACAGGCCTGATTTGCTCAAAGAATTGAGGCGAGTGTTTTTGAATATATGCGATTGCATATGTCTGAATAAGCCCACCGAGAGAATGACCAACAAAACTAATGCTCGTAATCTGGTAAGCATGGTCTTCATTTCCAAATTCCTGGGCATTCTCCTGTGGGGTTGATTCGGCCGAATGAGCAGATGGTTGAGCTCGCTCCTTGCGAGCACTAAAAGGTCGAGAAAACGGGTTCGACTTTGAGCCCTTCAGAGGGAAATAGGGTTGATCGGGATATGTGAGAAGTAGGACATATTTGGCCAGCCGTTTGCCGAGGTATTGAATCCCACGCTCAGTCCGAACAACATTGCCAGAGAACCCTCTGACAATGACTTGCTCTTCGTCGTCATCATCATCGGGGTCATCATTAGACTGGCTGCTTTGCTCCTCCCCAACATGACTGGACTTACTGCTGACAAAACGATGGATTAGAAAATTTGGATACCAAAGCGCTCAAAAGGATTTCATACCTTGTCGAGTTTTCTCGATCATCCAGTCCAACAGGGCTGACGTGGGGAGCTTTGCCGTGACGGTCTTTCTTTTTGGACTTTCTCATGGCTGCGTCAATGCTCTCCTTCAAATAGAGCATGTCTGCACCAAGGTTGCTATGTAACCCGTGTGTCAGTAACACAAGATGAACCGGCTTCTTCTTGGCGCTTTTCACCGGTGCTTCAGTAGAATCCTCCAGCGCTAAATTTTCGCACGGAGATTGCGAGACCTGACTCTTCTGATCAACGCTTTTGGGAGCTGGCTCCGCCGAGGGGAATGGCGGGTTGCTCCATAGACTAGTTGTATCGTCGACGTGAAGAGCGATTGCTTTTGAATACACGCCTTTTGAGGCAAGCACCTGAGTACCTCTAGTTTCAGGCAGCCAATGGTCTTGTAACTTTGCGGGAGGCCCCGTCGAGCTATTTCCGCCACCCCATGCACCGCCCGAGAAATATGCCAGCGACTTTTCATCTCGACCCACCAGCAGCTCAAAATGAACTGCTGCGCTACTTGAGAATATCACCTGCGATTGTATCTCAACAATCCAGCTAACGCTCTGTCCACTTGCCGGTCCGCCTTGACCCGGAGAGCCAAAGTCGTGAGCTTCCAGGAGATTATCCGGCACCTTGATGACGGCGTCCCAACCACCTCCTGCCTTAAGGTAGGGCTCAAACTGCGGTGTACCCTCCAGATCCTGTCGCTCATATTTGGTGTTGGGGTCAAACTGCGAGGGATAGCAAGCGGCGTATAGCGTGTACGGGCCATGCAGGTATGCGGCGCGTAATGGGATGGCAGATGTGTTCTTCACTCTGACGTAGAGATTGGAAGGAATGGGCAAGATCGGATCGGCCGCTGGAGTGTATGTAATCGTGTATCTGATGGACGATTCACTATTAGTGATCCAGAAGGACTTCAGACTTGAGGGGCAATCCGGACCAAACTCACCTAACAACTTCCCCAACGCGAACACTACCCACTTGGTGGACTAACAACATTTCGGTCGCTTCCTCTATATCCACCGGATTTATTTGCCAGCCGGAGAGGGTATGAAATTGCGATCTTTTATTGCAGAGTTGTGCTGCACCTAGGTCTGGAGTTTGGGAGGCTGAATAGGTGCGCGCAGTGATCAGCATCGAAACTAATGGGCAGTTCCATTATAGTCAAGTGAATCCAGTGCGTTAGATAAGGGTATTTGGCACATCTCATGGATGTCCGCGGATGGTTTACGGGGTGCAATCTCCGGAGATGGCGGAAAACACATGACTTAAATTCCCTTTATGGATCAACACAGCCCTTGTTGATAAACCGGGTGGACCATATGCACTGCCCGTATAAGCAAATCTTGGCATCCCTTTCCGCTTTAGTGCCCGCTCCCCTTGCCGCTTTATGAGAATTGAGATCCCACCCCGCTGTAGGTAACCTGACAGGCCGGGGCCCCGGGGCTCCAGGCCTCGGGGATGCCCAGGTACAATGACACTAAAATGTCTATTTATCTGTACCACAGTACATCTGCTTAAATAGACCTTCTCCAGCAAGAAGGTTTTGTGGAGTATCCAACTCAACAAGACGTCCAGCATTCAATACTGCAATCCGATCAAAATCTATAATTGTATCAAGCTGTTCAACCATTAGCTCGCTCTGAGCATCCGTAAGTTAGGGCGATGAAACTGGGGACATACTCGATGAGTGACGCTGAAAACAGTACAGTCGTGGAAAGCGTCTCTCATGACTTTCTGTACTCGCTGGTCTGTTTGGGTATCAAGACTGCCCGTGGCTTCATCCAGAATTAGTACATGACATCCACTGTTACTCGTTTGTCTTTTGAGAATTGCCCGTGCCAGACAGAATAGTTGCTGCTCTCCTTATGACAGTGGATGGTCCTCAAGGAGTGCGTCCAAGCCCCCACGGCTTTCGATCGCTTCCCAAACGCCAATCTGTTTCAGCACAGATGTAATCTCGCTGTCACTGGAGAGTCCCATAATGTCTGCATTATAACGGATTGTTCCCAAAAGTGTGAACGGATCCTGCGGCACAGCTATCAGCCTCTCTCGGATTGATCCGGGGGCAATCTTGGGAATGTCAGTCTGATCGATTGTGATATTGCCATGTGAGAAGTCTATGAGACGCAACATGGCTAGCGTGAGAGAGCTTTTCCCGCTGAAACATGGAGAGTTGGTCAGCAGTCTGGTTAATAAATGAAAGCCAGAAGATGAGAAACACGTACCTCCCAGTGCGGCCGCAGATTCCGATCTTTTCGCCCGGGAAAATATGCATCGAGATGTCATCCAGAGCCAGAGTTCCGTCGGGATATCGGAGAGAGAGACCCTGTATGTTAATTGCCCCCTGCCGGGCCATAATGCAGGCAGTTCTGCTACTATACCCGGTTGGTCTTCACATGGCGTTGTCTCAACAAATGACTTTAGGATCGGAATTCGAAGCCATTGTGTTTGAATGATCATGGGGCTTGCCATTCACGTCATCCTGGATTTTCGTATCCGAATATTGCCTGGCCTGCCAGAAATTTGTATTGCGAATGGCCTCGCTGCCTGTTGTTTGAATGTCAACTCGACCATCCGAACTGAACGAGACCACACTATCTGCGATTCCAAGGAGTCGAGCTATGTATAGCCTATAGGTCGTCAGTCGCAGCCCAATCTACGGGAAATGGTACATAACAAGTGTACCTGACCAACTTCAAGAAATAGCCATGTTCTGATCGCGTTTTTCTTTAACAACGAGACAGATGGAGTAGTCGGGGTGGTCCAGCCAGTAGCAGGATCGTCGAAGGAATGATCGACAATATAGCCTGCTCGAAGGTGATAGTAAAGTCAAATGGCCTCAGGTGGCTAACTGGCCCGAACGCGTTCTCGGAAGTATCGTCTGCCCAAGGGGCAGTGGAATTGAAGGCCATTGATGTAGGACTTCGCACCGAAACTAGCAATAGTGCTAGATAGAGACAGCTGTAACATGGGGATAAGGTCTTCTCTGGGATATTTGGACTAAAATATATAGATAACCTTCGATGCGAAGCATGACGAATGCGATGTTGCCTAGACAAAGAAATGACCGGGATTGTAGGGGTCAGGTATAGAGCAGCGCGTCCGATTTGCTGATTATACAGCTATCCATGCACGTCCGGAGGACCGTCGGATGCATCATCCACTTACCTATGTAGAGTAACCCGTCCCGCCTATATATGTTGTACAATGAACTGCTGGATTCAAATCTAATATATATTTCTATCGCAACTTAATGAATCTCTATCTAATTAATCAAGTTCAGCAAACGGCTAGATTCTTTAGAAATCTCCACCCAACCATCTCTTTCGACAGCAACGATCTTTCCATCAATACAAACGCGTCGCCACTTCTCCTCATCTTCTTGAAAATCGATACGGACTTGCTCAGTGTCGACATAGGTGACTGTATCTTCTATCACATGTCGACCACCCTGGTAGGCCAGAGTCATCAAATGCATCGCGTCTTCCCCCGACATAGGACCGAAGCGGATGAACCTCATCTTTCCATCCAGGGGCACTGAGTCTGGAGAAATCAAGAAATCCTTCTCAAGTCGTGGAACGAGCGTAGCAAGTGCATACATGTGCTCAAGGCCACCCACTGCCTCTTGGCAACGTGCCTCGTTCGGGCCATTCGAGTTGGTTAATGTGATTTTGCCTTTGAATTGGTGAGGCGGACTGCCATCCGATGGATAAAGTAGCTCATTTGCGGCCATCTTGAAACGATCGCTTCCAAATTTGCGATATTCGAATGTGTCGCTGTCTGCAACTAACGCAGAATGGAGCCCCCAGCTCGCAACAACGGCCCCGTATATTGTGTGGTGAACCTCGGTGTCTATATCGGCTCGTTTACGACCTTCATCGATGACCATCCGACTGCCAGGTGAAAACTTGGCAGCAAATATCGGTATAGGAGATGGGCTGCCTCGAAGTAGTGTTGAAAGGTCCAGCACCGGACCAGATCGTAATCCAATGGAACTGGCCATGGCATTCCCTGTCCCACAAGGAATCAACACGATATTGGGAGATACACCAATCGTCTTCTTGGATTTGTAGAAAATCTCGAGAATGTCAATGAGGCCCCCATCCCCGGAAAGTAGGATGATGGTCTGAGGAACGCCATTCTGAGCCCGCTCCAGGAATTTCGATCGTGCGAGCTCGACAATAGTTTGTGCGGATTGTGTTTCGTAGAGCTCGTAATTCTCTAGCCCGATATATGTAAGAAAGGGTTGTACAACATCTTGAAAGACTGTTTTGGCTTTCCCCGTTCCTGATCCAGTTGATACCACAACCTGGACGATTGGTGGTTCATCATCATGTCGAAGGTGGTTGGGAATCTTGGTCACAAACGGAGATAGTGCTGCAGGCAGGGACTCGATGTCGATCTTTTTTAAAGAAAAGTCCTCAGAGCCATCCAGTTCGGTTTTCTGGAAGAACAGCACACTATATGTGGGTGCAGGGTTGGACAACACGCAGAGAATGTCGTTGAAGTCAACCGAACACTCAACACCTGCATGAGATGTGTATTTCAGACTGCTTCCAGCTATATCAACTGCCAAAGCGTCAGGCATCATTGAGTATGTAGCGTAGTGAGAGAAAAGTCAACAGTTGACAGGGCGGGGTTTACGGCTCACCCGGACTTTTAACCCATGTCGTACTATTTAGTTACTTAGTTTATTACTTAGCTAGTTAGCAGAAATATCACTCTTTAATCACTATCACTTGACTGTCGCTTTACCAAAAATTAAAATGTTACTTGGTTATTAAATTTTTTTGTCAACATATAATAGACACCTGTATAGAAAGGAACTTGATTGGTTGGACTTTTATACCAGCAGTATGACCCAATCCATACATAATGCACTAGGACTGGAATGAATATAGAAACTTAGATATCACAACATGTCCAATTTGAGATAGCTGATATTCTTCTTGCTACGTTGTTTTACTAGATACATAATACATCTCGACAAGGCAGGGGTACATAAGAAGCAGTCCGATCCAAATCTGTCGGTCACAAAATAAAGCAAAAAGAAGAGGGCATCACAAATACAATGTCCCGGGGATATCGATCTTAGTCCTGGGTTGGGGAAATTCCACGCGAGGGCGTCGGTGAAGTCTCATCATGAGAGCTATGCTTGTCACTGAGGTTTACTGCGATGAAGGTCTTGGGAAGTTCCACACTACATGCAGTGATTAGTAAAGGTCCCGGGAGTTGAGGTAGGGTACAACTTACGTGTTAAATTTCGCCTTCAAGGTCTCAATCACCTCCTTCCAATCCTGATGGGCTGTCAGGCTTCGGCGTGGGGTGCAGCCGATGGAGTGCCTGGAATCGAGTTGCACGTCAAGCGGGTCGAAGGCGTGACAACCAGGGCTGACTGAGATGCGAATGGAGTAGGAGTAGGAGTCCGATTCACTGTCTCGAGCTTCGTATAGCTCAAAGCAAATCTGAGAGAGATAATCAAGTTCTGGGATGGCACTCCTGGCAATCTTAGTTTGAATTCCACCTTCCAAGATGCAGTTCAAGAGGGTGTAGATATGAGATTCCTTGGTGAAGTAGAAGAAGGACTTGGCATCCTGCGAAGCCTGTACCTCTTCTAGATCTCGAACAATTTCTTGAAGAAGGGGAAGAGATGTTAGGAGGCCAATCTCGAGTTTCTCGCTGTCGGTGATTCCATATTCCTGAGGCGTCACGTAGTCGAACAAAACCTTCGCTAGCTTGTACAATTCTCGGAGCTTTGAAAGGCGCTCATCCATCTTGCACTTGGAAGATTGGGAGCCAGGGAAAAGCTTGAAGTAGTGATCGTATGAATCATCTAGTGCCCGAAGGTGCGGCAGTGACTCGAGAGCAAGGATGCGTTTCTTCAATCCAAAGCGATGAACGAACGTCTGGTTTTCGACGCGCTCTTCGGATTTGTCGTTCCCGGCTTCCGGTCTAAGTTTCCCCTCCGCGCTCGTGTCTGTCTTTGCTGCGCTCTTGCTTTTCTGATCTTCATCAGAGTCAAGGGCACCGTCCTGTGGCATGAAGACCCATTCCAGAAACTGTCTATTGTGGAGTGCATCAAATTTCATACTGTCGTATAGCTCGGAAAGCTTGCTCGGGTCGACCTTCTCGGTGTCACAGAACTCTGCAAAGAGCTTTTCCCACCGCTCCTTGAAGAGGCGAGGATCTTCACCCGCGCACCAACGACCCTGTATGCCAGATATATCAGAGGATTGGCTCGAGGTCTCAGGGTCCTCGGATGGAGTCGGTGAGATGTGGGGTGAGCCGTCGAGTTTCTCAAAGTTGTTTCGCATGACGTCCCGGTGGAACTTCATCAGTTCAACTACCCTAGCCAGGACAACCGAAGGTTCTGGGATGTTTTTATCCTTAGGCCAAGCAAATTGTGAAGGCGCAGACCCTTCTCGCAAAAGCAATTTCAGCTTCTTCTTGACTTTATCCATGACATCCTTGGCGGCATTTGAGTCGTCAAGCAAATCTTTTCGGACCTGTATCAAGTCTTCCGGGATATCCTTCTGGTCCAAAAATGAGCATGCCCATATTTGTGCTTCAAGAGTATCGTTAGCTTGATGCAAATAATGGCAAGGAAGATAACTCACCACTGGTGCTCACTCTACGTTCTGAGCTGGTAAATATGCGAACGTTATTCAACGCCTCCTTGTTTAACAGCTTGAGATCATCCCGCATGTTCAGTCCAAGATCCTGTGATTGGTAACGCGCAGCATGTGTGGGCTCGCCGCCCCACTTGATCACAAGCTGTAGTTTGTCCAGGATCAAGTCATTCTCGGCGGCGGAGAACCGAGAGAAAGTCGCACCTGAGATAGAATCACTTCGTGTCTGTGATCTACGTAAGTCCTCGTCTCCTGGCGTCAGTCCCTCCCCCTCATTGGGCACAGGTGTAGTGGGCTCTTCGCAGGGTTTGACCTCGGGCAATGGAGTTGAACCTTCCGGTGGGCCCTGTTCTCCCATCTCTTCTGGCTTTCGTTTCCGGAACATTGGCTTGATCTGTACTTTGGTACCAGGCCAGCCCCCCTTTTTCTCTAAAGATGTGCGGAGCAGCTTGAGCTTCTCCATGTCTTCCAGCCCCTTCTCCATGGCCAGCTTGACGGCATCAGAAACACTGGCCAATGCAGCTTCTCCCTTAATCACTATCTCCTCCTGGTGCCCCTTCAGCAAATTCACAAAAGGTTGGCTATGGAAAGTGAACTTGAATTTTTGCTTCGGGGTCCGATCTGCGTGTCGAATCACAGCCACCATACCCTTCAGCTTCCAAGAATGTTTGGAAGCAGGAAGGGGCGGAAGGGCTTCATCATTGGCATGTTGTACCGAGAGAGCAGG